TATATATATATATATATCATACACACACACACACGTCTATGTTTATCTAGATAACAAAAAGGAGTTTAAAAATCGAATAAACGTTTACTTACTTATATAACGAAGTAAACCTACATGCTGGAGAAAGAAACATCACAAAAATCAGTTAAAATTAAAATAAAATAAAAATTCTTTTGAAGAATGTTTGTTTGAAGAGTCAATTTGTATAAATGGATATCAAACAAATAACAAAACATTGGCTATAAAATTGCTATCATTAATTTTAATTTAGCACCTTCTAGGAATTGAAGGGTATAAGCTGAAATCTCTTCATTTAGGTGCAGTCAAGCCAACATTGCAAAGGTATAATTATTTTTTCGTTGAAGAATATTAGTTTTGAATTATTAGATTTTGTGAAAGATTTTTTTCTCGAATTCAATAAGAGGAATATTGGTTTCTAATTGATAATTTCTATAACGATTTTTAAGTATAATAAAAAGTATATTTTTTAAAACAAAATTGGTATGACGTGAATTTTTTTAAAAAAATGAAAACAAATTATTCGAAATGGGATTATTTTTTAAAATATAATGTAATTTTAAAAATAAAAATATAAGATATTTTTGAATTTTAGTAGAGAGTTTTTAAAATTACTATAATAGAAGTCATATCATGGATAAAATCAAGAAACCGAAATCCTATGGAATATTTACATAAATATCCCGCTAAATGTATTGTTTACTTTTTATAGCTAATATACATAGATGATATACAAACAACACAGGATTATACACATATTATATATGGATTATATATAAATTACACATCCTTCAATTTTTTAATTTAAATGGTTGGGTGAAAACCTATTTAGGTTGATTAGATAAAGCCAAAAGAAAAAATATGAAAGAATTTCAACCAAAGACTAAAAATATAAATAAATTTCTTATGTAGATAATTTCTATTAAAACTCATCCTTTTATAGCGAAATAAATTAATTTATTGTAACAAAATAAAAAAGACATAAAAAATAAGATAAAAGAAAATAAATTTAGAAAAAATGTATGAAAAATCTAAAAACCATAAATAAGAGATGACAACGAATTTTTTATTTTGTTTCATCTTTGTTGAGTATAAAAATTTGAAAGTTAATCTCATCGATTTCAAATATTCTTTTTCAACTCATATACATAGATTATAATATAAGGATATCATAGAATTTTATTTTTAATTTACATTTTGTGTCGTTTTTAAAAAATCACTATTAATAACAAACTGATATGATATTCGAATTTGAATTTAAATACAATTTGAGTAGTTCGCATTGAGGTTAAGCCAAGTATGGTGTCGAGAAAAAACTACTTGGCAATTTTAAGATAATATATGCAATGTTATATAATAACAATCAACTAATTTAACATTTAGTGATTCAAAGAACAAAAAATCTGTATAAATAGCGTATTCAAAATTTAAAATTTGTGGCTAGAGATATCGATAAATTCAAAAAGGAGTCATACTAAAATAAAGTTTCACCGGCTAAAGAATCATTTAAATTTTTAGATAGCCGATTAAAGTGAATTTTAAATTAAGGATAATATCTTCACTTGCATCATTATACAGATAATCATTATTGAAATATATATAAAGTTTTAGAAATTAAAATTTTAAAATAGAAATATTTTTTGAAGGATAACAACATACCAAATAAGAGTTCAAGTCGTAGTAAAAGAGTCACGTCATAACCAAAGAATTGTTCATATTATGTCAACCTTTGTGTTTTGCCATAAATACGAGTTATTATTTCGCTTTTTGGCTATTTTTAGGTTCCAATGACACCGTGAGAATGGTGCAAAAATAAAATTATCACTACGAGATTTGAAAAAATATTAGTCTTTTTTTATTTAGTGTTTCTTAATTAATATCTAACGATTATCTATAATTATCTAGAAGGTTTAAATTTTAAGATTATTTACATATAATTCAAATAACTCAGATATTTAACATGGCTAATGTCAAATATCAAAATGGAGTCATACTGGGGAAAAGAAATTCACTAGCTAAATAATATTTTAAATTTTTAGATAGTCGACTAATATGAATTTTGAATTAAGGATAATATTTTTCACTTACATTATTATAAAAATAATTATTATTGATAAATAAATTTGTAGAAACTGAAATTTTAAAATAAAAATATTTTTTGAAAGATATCAACACACTAAATAAGAGTTCAAGTAATAGTGAAAGAGTCAAGTCGTATCCAAAGAGTCCTTTATAGTCTCAACCTTTGATTATTTTGCCATAAATATGAGTTAATATTTTGCTTCCTGACTATTTTTAGGATCCAATGACACCGACGAGAATGATACCAAAAAAATAGAATTATAACTAGGAGATTTGAGAAATAGTCAATCTTTTTCATGTAGTGTTTCTTAATTAATATCCAATGATTATATATATTTATCGGGAAGGTTGAAATTTTAAGATTATGTACATATAATCCAAATAACTCAAATATTTAACATGATTAATGTCCGCGTATTCGCGTGGGTGCTAATACTAGTTTAGAATCAACCAATATAATGTTAGATTAGTCGTTTTAAAGAATATATCAGTTATTATTACTTGAACCTCATGTATATGTACACACATATGCATAATACTCTTATTCTAACTCCGAAGATGTAACAACCGACACAATATTGCAGTTCGTCCTATTAGCTTTTTAATCTTTAAGTCTATGGGTGACAATTTAAGTATAAACCCATTCAAACCCCCAATCCGTCCAAGGTTTGGTCGCTTATTAACCCGCTCATTGTTGAATTCAGAACATTTTGACCCAACTCGTCTCAGCATATCTAAAGTTGGGCTGATTTTAGTCCAAATTGATTCATGAATAATTTTGCTAAAATATCTTTAAAATAATAATTTTTTTGTTTGATATGTTATATATGACCATAACATAAGAAAAGAAGTCTTATTTGATAATTAAATAATTTATAAGAAAGCAATGCATATTAATTAATGCTTGGAAAAAGTTAGACAGGTTGAGTTATGACCCAAATTTTAATCAATTTTAACCCAGTCAATATCAGCCTAAGTAACTTAACCCGCTCATTTATTGATTCAGCCCATTTTGACTCGTCCAAGCTCCGGCCAATCGGCCCACTTGACACCCATGTATTTAACAACCAACATTAATCTAAAAATAATACAAATTGTAAAATGGACCCGTATGTCATGTTTAATTGCAAACCACCAAAAGGGAAAAGGCAAAAAAAGAAAAAGAAAACAAATTAGACCACGATTAATTAACGCAGAACATAAAAACATAAGTAAAAAAACAAGGAAAAAGGAAAAAAGAAGTGTAGAATATCAAGGATAGAGAAGTCAGCTATCTAGGTGGAAGCATTATGTCTTGTTTTAAGCAAACAAGCAGGAATCTGAATTTCTGTTTGTTCCAACGGTCAGTCATTTTTTGGGACCAAAGGTTTTCTTCGTAATTTTCAGCCCGCCCCTTCATTCCTTTCTCGCCTATCCTTCTCCAATTGGTTGAATAATTAAATCATGATGGTGGTACTGATGATGGTGATTTTCATCTTTTAATCTCCTCAATTTCTCTGTTAATCCATAGGTATGATCTTTTAATTTCCTTGTTAAAAATTACGTCAATTCATTTTATCATTTTCTGGTAGGTATGATCTTTTAATTTCCTTGTTAAAAATTACGTCAATTCATTTTATCATTTTCTGGGGTTTTATTTTATGTTTCGTTTGTTCTTCCATTTTATCGCATGCAAATGTGTGTGTTGTGGGTCAATTGTAATTTTTCATATTTGCGTGCATTATTGATTGTTTCCTATGGTTTAATTCCAGGGTCTATTGTCTAATACTGGATTTGCTGATATAGAATTGAGAAAGGGTGAATTTTTTTATATATGTGGTGAGTGATTGACATAAAATGGCCCCAAATAGGCTTAATGGATATAGAAGATTCATATAACTGACCCCAATTAGTTTTGGATTGAGGAGGAATTATTGTTGTTGTTTTGTTTAGTGATTGATAAGTGCTCATTGGTTTGGTTCACTGGAAATGTAATGTGATTTGGGAAGTTGATTCTTTTTTGTGGCAATGGCTGCAAGAGGGATTTCACCTGGTAAACAGAGAAATCCGCGGGGATTTATGATAGTCTTGTCTTCTGCGGCTTGTGAATGGTTCTTGATGTTTATGTTATTTCTGGATGCGGCATTGTCATACTTGATCACCAAATTTGCCTGTTACTATGAGTTGCAGACGCCGTGTATGTTGTGCTCACGGTTTGATAACATATTTGGGGACAAGAAAACTGGATGTTACAGGAGACTTCTGTGCAGAAACCATAAAGAGGAGATATCATTTCAAGTGTTTTGTCATGTTCATGGTAATCTTGCTGATGTTCGTGCTATGTGTGAAGAATGCCTTGTATCGTTTGCTACTGAAAACATACTTGTTAAAGAGTCGGATAATTTGATGATGGCTAAACTGGGGAATAAGAGTTTTATACCTAGTTCTCCTGGCCCGTGGAGCTGTTCTTGTTGTCAGAAGACGTGGAGAGCTCGATCTAGTGCTCAAAGATTGCTCCAACTAACTTCAGTTGGTTTTGGAGCTTCTAAGGCCAATGTCAAACCTCCTCTGCCACGAGCACCAGGTCGTAGCCGCTTCAGCCGCCGTGATAGCTTTAAGAAAATCAGGGATAAAATTTCTGGGCCAGACTCACCTAGGGCAAGGACTGCTGGTGTTGACCCTTTATCACATGTAGGATATACAGAGCTGAAGATTACTTCAGATTCTGAGTCTGAAATCCAGATTTCTGATGATGATGACGGATGTTCTGCTACTCGCTGTAAAAATGATTCTAGATCAGAAGATAATGTTCGAAGTGGCAAAGGAATAACACAGAAAATAGGAACTGAGGCTGCGACTCCAGAGAATCAGGCTCGACAATCATCTGAATCCAGGCCTTCTCTTCTGGATCAGCCAATGCAGTTGGCCGCCAGCTCGGGCAAAAATGTGTGTTTTCAGGCATGTGATGATTTCGTAGGGCATGGCTTAGCAGAACTTGATTGGGAAAATCTTTCTCCTAAGGCCAGTCCTTCGGTAGTGCCAGAGCTCATTTCATTAGATAATATCACCCAGTCGCCCAACATTTTAGAAAATCATCACACATCAGGAGTGATTTCACAGCCGAACATTTTTCTTCCTCGTATCTCAGATCTCTTTGTACTGTCGGAGCTCATATCAGCAACTAATTTACCTTCTTCGTCCAGTATTAACACCCAAGAGACAAGTAAGCTGATCTTTGCCTTTGATTGTTGTGCGTCTGTATCTGTCTTGTACACTTGCTTGTTCTGTTTTTCCAAGAAAAGCAGTTGAGTTCCTATTTTTCATTTGTTTGTCTTTATAAAATGATTTTGTAGATTTGACTGAAGCAACTGATGAAGGAAACAACTTAACTGTGAAGAATAATGCGAAAGCTCCAGTTGATTTAGATGACAGTGCTCCATCTATACCAAACCAAATTCAAGCCGATATATCTTCTCTGAGCTACAGAGAGAGAAAAGTATCAGATAGGCTTGGAGAACCAAGTGCAATAAGTGATGCTGGAAAAGCTGGAGAAGGTATGAAGTCACTCCCCCAACTTTCTACTTCTGAGATGGATGAAATTCAAACTGCAAGTCATAGGAATTATGATCATGGCGATGACCACCAAAGAAGTGATGCCTCTAGCTCCGACGGGGTACGTCTGCATCAAAAATCAACCTTCGTGGAGAGAGATGATTCTGGTAATGAACCGGCAGGTGGATTCAGCATCAATGAAATTGAGGGCGAAAGTATTGTTGATAGGTTGAAACGACAAGTTGAACATGATCAGAGATGCATAAATGCTCTGTACAAGGAACTGGAGGAAGAAAGAAGTGCTTCAGCCATTGCTGCAAATCAGGCAATGGCTATGATCACAAGGTTGCAAGAGGAGAAGGCATCACTTCATATGGAGGCTTTGCAATATTTAAGAATGATGGAAGAACAAGCTGAGTATGATATGGAGGCACTAGAAAGAGCTAACGATCTCCTTGCTGAAAGGGAGAAAGAGTTGCAAGATCTGGAAGCAGAATTAGAATTATTTAGGAATAATTATACAGATGAATTAGCGGCAGAGGATCCAGGCAAGGAGGATAAAAACCAGAAAGGGGAAAAAGTAATGACTGAGAATAATAGTCTAGATCATATTGAGAACAAGCTCAGTGGCAGTTCAGATTCGAAAACTATTAAAATATCCAAAAACTGTGATAAATCTAGAGAGTTTAACGATTCAATATGTAACTTCGAGGATGAAAAGTTCCGCATTTCACAACATCTGAAGAACTTGGAGAAAAAGCTTTTTCAAGTTTCTGGCAGACAGGTCTCAGATAATGTTCCTTATAATGGATATTCAGAAAGGATAGAGAAAGATGTTGATGATCATGTCAAGAAAAAAACTGCTGATATGAGAAGTACTAATTCCCAACAGGAGGAGAGTTCTTCATCCACGCACAATGATTTTCCAAAATCAAATGGAGGCTCCACTGACAAGCCTGCCGATATAGGCAATGGTATTGTTAGTGAAGATAAGAATAATTTGGACATTAAGCATAAAAAAGTTTCCTCTCTTGGAGGTGAAATTGATGTAGCTGCTATGGGGAATGAAATTTCAGAGCTTAATGGGAGGTTACAAGCACTTGAGAATGACTGTAATTTCCTCATGCATGCTTTTAACTCGCTCCAGAATGGACATGAGGGGATACAGTTTATTCAGGAAATAGCTCATCGGCTGCAAGAAATACGGAAAATTGAGATTAAGACGAGATGACTTTTTTGAAGTTTCAAGTAATACAAGGTAAGCCTTTATTTAAATGACTAGCATTCTAGTGACCCTGATCTCTTGTGTGCAAAGATTGTTTTCTACATTTATCATTGAATATTATGTTGGGGGATGAGGATTGACAGAGAATACTAACTTTGATGAGTTGTTATAAACGAGACTCCTAGTAATTCAGGTTTTGCTAAGATAGATGCTTCAACTATAAATGGCCTTGGACTTTGCCTAAGCCACATCCTATGCACTTGAAGAATTATTGCTATATTTTTGTCCCTATGACCTATGGATATGTACCTTATCACCTATCAAAATTTTACCTTTCTGGGTCTGTATAATATTACCATGCCTTGCTTTTTACAGGATTCCTTTTATTCAACTTTAATTAATTTATTTACTTCCTTTATGGAAGATTCTGCTGCTGAGCTTTTCGTGCCAGAAGAGAGAAGCTGCAGAGAGGTGCATCATTATTTACAGCTCATAGTAGGAAAGGAGAAGCCAAACTGCAGATAACCAACCGGAAAAAAGGAAGCAGACAAATATACAGCGTGCCACTTCTCCTCTGTTCTTTGCAAAGAAATAGTTTTCATGATCGCGAACTGGTCTGAGGTTCTGGTTTTCAGGTCTCTTCTCCTCTTAAATTGGTTTTGATTAAAAAAGTTACAGATTGTCTTTTCTTTTTTGTTTCCTTTTCCTCTTTTTGGTCCTTTTTCACAATTTTGTTAGTCGTAAATGTGACTGAATGGTGGGGTTTTGGTGTAAGTTTTGTATATTTTGCTCAAGGTTGGGCTTTGTTACCAGGTTTTACAAGTGTAAATGCAGATAGGCTCTTCAGGGACTTCCTAATTTGCTTCTTGTGTTGACAACCTCTCTGTTGTTTTTCTTTTCTTTTTCTGTTCTTGTTTCTTCACTTCCTTTCAGTTTCTTTTATCTTCTGTATGTGCAAGATGAAATGCAGAGTCTCCCTCCCATTCTTATTTCTATATATCATTTGTTAGGCAGAGAATAACTGCCTCTTTTACCCTAGATATTTTGCGTTTAATCTTAATGATTCTTCATAATACAACAAGGTTATGACTTGGGAGGAATATAATCTGAACCTCAAGAGAAATTTTGTTGTTATTGCATCCTTCTACCTATAAAACTGTTGGTAGTACTAAGCCATATTGATACATTCTGGCTACTCACTGGCAGAGCCGGCTCTAACCTTGTCACAAGTAAGGCTTGTGCCTTAGGCCCCCAAATTTGAGGGGCTTATTTTTAGAAATAATAGGTTTATAGGTATTTTAATTTTTTTTAGCACTTTTAGAATAAGAGTAGAGTTTTTCATATAAAAGAATTTTTTTTTAGATATGTAAATAGAGTAACTATTTGACTTGCATTTGAGATGAATATAGAATCTGAGTGTGTAATTCATAGAAATAAAAAATTTGATGAGAATGTTGATAATAAAATCATAATTTCTCTTGAAGAATCTTTTACCATAGAATTTTAAATAAAATATATCGTATAACTTTCTTTTAAAAATTTAGCCCTCATATTAAACTTTGGTTTTAGGTCGTCCCGCATATACTTGAGCCGCCCTTGCTCACTGGTGAGAAACTTTACTATTCACGTTTAATCCTTTTAATCATGAAGGGTGGGGGGTTTGGGGTGGTGATAATATGGTACTCCTTTGCTAAAATTTCAATTTTTCTCCTTTTATATTCATTCAGTTTCAATCTGATCGTCACTTATGTATATCAAAGATCAACTAGACCGGCTCCCATGCTCAATTGCTTCCGTCAAAGCTTGTTGATTGGCCAAAAGTCAAAAACATAAAGTGAAAAATATTTGGTGTTTTTATTCCTCAAAACATTGAATTCTTCTTAACAAATCCCAAGCCCTAACCAAGAGTGGGTGGTTGCTCTAGTGGTAAGTATCCTTCACTTTCAATCAAGAGATTGTGAGTTCGAGTTACCCCAAGAGCAAGGTGAGGAGTTCTTGGAGGGAAGGGAGCCGAGGGTCTATCGGAAATAGCCTTTCTACCTCAAGGTAGGGGTAAGGTATGCGTATATACTACCTTTCCCAGACCCCACTAGTGGGATATGCGTACACACTACCTTCCCCAGACCCCACTAGTGATATATGCGTACACACTACCTTCTCATATGCGTACACACTACATTCCCCAGACTTCACTAGTGGGATTATACTGGATTGTCTAATCTTGATTTATTAAATGACTTTTTTCTTCTAGATTTTCTTTTTGGACTGAGTATTAGTTAATCATTATGGACTTTATGGATAACTATTGAGTGTTTACTTTGTACTCCCTGTCTCAAATTATCTGTCGTGTTTCTCTTTTACACGTCTTTCAAAAAATATTAAATAAGAAAGATTTTTTTGATTATTTTACCCTTATTTATGTCTTAAGATATAATCTATCTTCATTTAATACTTAATCATAATTAAGGTATTTGTAGTCTTCAAAAATAATTAATATTAAAGGTAGAATAAAAAAAAAAAATTATTTATTTTTGAATTTTTAAAATGACAAATAATTTGAGACAACTATTTTTAGGAACTACGAGAGATAATTTGAGACGGAAGGAGTAGATCTTAAACATATGAAGTAAATGATGATGTCTGTTCTCTGCCTCAAAGACGTTTTACTTGAGAAAGAAATTATGGATATTTGTGACTATGGTGTGTGAACCCGTTTCAACTATATTGTGGCTTTGGTTGGAATCCATGCACGAAGTACAACTCAAAGCTCTTAAGAAATAAGAGTATTTAAAATTATAGATATTGTGACTATAGTTTGAAAACCTTGCTGGCTAATTATAATCTGGTCACGCTTTTTCGGGGGCCAAAAGTACATGAGAAACTGGTGCTTTTCCAGGGTCAAAAGTACATGTTTCTCAAGAAATATTTTTTTCTCAACTTTTTGTTAGAAGAAGAAGTTATTTTTGAGAAGCGCAAAAACGTAGACAACAATAACAATAAATTTAATGCAATCCCACGCATAGGATTTGTGTATGCCGACCTTACCCGTACCTTATGAACAAAAAGAGATTGTTTCCGATAGACCCTCGACTCAAAAACAGTGAAAAAGACACAATAAACCAACATTAACAATTGAATGAAATAAGATAAAAGAAACAAATAGCACATCATGTATAGCAGAGAAGCACAAAAAATAGCTTCTGCTTAAAGTAACTTCTTAGCAAAATATTGTATATACCAAAATAATCTTACTTAGCTTAAACTATTAAATAATTAATGACTTTTAGAGTGGACTTTCATATTTATTGAATAATATTTTGATATATTTGAATCATCTTGAAAGAATAAAGTGCTTTTCTATTTTATTTTTATATTTTTCTTAAATAAGATTAAAAAAAACTTAATTATTATCTTTAATAATATATATTTATGATTATGTATCTGCTTATATAATATTAATTATTAAATAAATCTCTCCATATCTTTATTAGTAATTTAATACTATTTAAAAGCATTCTTTGAAAAGTTTGACCAAACACAAATTGTTGCTCAAAAGTGCTTTTCAAATTGATTAGCCAAAGACAAATTGTTGCTTAAAAGTATTTTCCAAATTGATTAGCCAAACACAAACTGTTTTTCTCCAAAAGTACTTTCGAAAAATACTTTTAAAAAAATCACTTCTAAAAATAAACTAATTTTTTATTTGTCAACCTTTTCCATATTGGAAAACAAAAATATTAAGAAAAGATGGATACTATAATTGATTCGCTGAATTTTATACTAAAAACCGAGTCCAGAACCCATTTGTGGTTCTTTTGGACAAGTGTGACGAAAATATGTGTTTAAAAAAAAGAGTGACATTTTTATATATAGCGCTCTTTTAAAGAGCGCTATACTTTA